AGGTATTGTCCATTGTGGAAAGCAAAAGTCCTCCATTCATGGGAAAAAGGAAAAAACCCACAAAACATCTGGAGGCATTAACAAAACAAAACAGCAAAGACATCAAATCACAGGAAAAATATTAAAATTGGTTCAACTTACTCAAAAACAGTTTCTCTCAACCTTGATCCCAAATTGTTTCAACAGCGTAGCAAAAGTTTGCAAACCAAATCTACTTTTACACCATATTACCTATTTTTGCATAAAATCACAGGGCAGAATAACTAAACAGTAATTTTAGCTGGTTTTGTTGGAACACTTCATAAAGGATCACAGCAAACTCTTGACATCCGGTCCATGTAGGCTTCAAGAACAAAGTTGGTCTCATCAGACTCCACTTGGGCTTCCTCTTCTCAAGGCTACCAGGGATTTTTCTTTTTCTTGGTTGTCCAGTCTTGCCCATGGAGGCAGCTTCTCACTTCCCTTGGAGGTCTCTGAACTTATGGACAAAGCAACAGGTTCTCCTCTTCTTGGTTCAGCTCTGTTTCAACTTCCTGTAAGATTCCATTCAAAGACACACAATGACACTCATGTCTAATTGTTTTAGTTTAAGCAGACAAAATCTGTATGGAAGTTATGCAAAAATAGACTCTGAGATAAGTAGTAAAAAAAAAAATACTACCACTATTTTTATGTGTGTTGGTATCCAGGGGAGATAAAATGTGAACACAAGTTAGTTTTGCTGGGAAAAAAATATAACATTGCTGCAGATCCTGGTCACTCAAAACAAGAAAATTTTATGAACTCAGAACAGAATGCAAAAAAAAAAATACCAGTATTGTATCAAAGAAAACTTAGTAAAAATCACGTGTATTTCCAGGTCTATTCAGTTCTTTGTAGGAAATTGTTACTCTCAACAGTTCCATCTTTAGGAATCTGTTGAGGCCTTTTCTCCCTATTTTCTCCAGAAACAATTTCTGTCCTATACAATATTGCAAGGCAACAATCACCATTGACAATTTACATACATACCAGGTATTGAGAGTTTGTATACATGTTTTAGAAAATCAATGTGAACATTTCTATACATGTCAAAGTGTTACCCTTTTCCCAAGTGACAATGCTTCCCTTCTAGTTTTACTTTACTAGGTAAGCCATATAGGACAAATTCATCTAATGCCCTTCCCAATAGGAAAGGAAGAAATCTTGGGGAGTGTCTCAGGAGCTCTACTGAGGTTCCACAAAATTTCCTTCTATCAACCAAATGACAGACTACCAAATTTTTACTTGAATTTAGATTTCTGGGAAGCTTTGCCATAAATATCAGAAAACAGCAGAAACAACAACATTCAGTCTCTATGAAGGCACTGGTTTATTTCAGTATTGCAATGTTGGCAATCAAAACATAACCTTTAATTATTTTTTTTCTTTTTCTTTTTCTTTTTTTCCCTTCTGGGTTGACTTTATTTTTTGTCATCTTTTTAAATTTTTTTTTGACATCATTGTTCATTTTTAAACAATATTTGCTTCCCCCATCCCCTCAGGTGTAGTCCCCATAGAGTTTCCTTCACCAATGCACCCGTGCACCATCACCTCAGCCCCCTGTGCTCCTCCCTCCCTCCCTCCCTCCCTCTGATCTTTCTCCCTCCTCCTCCCCTGCAGTATATCTCTGATTTATAATTGTCCATTTTTGCTTTATTGTGTTTGTACTGTTATTAGTTTTTACACTGACGTCCTATTGGGTTCCCCTATATTCCTGCTATAAGTGAAACCATCTGATACTTTTCTTTTTCCTTCTGGCTTATTTCACTGAGCATAATTCCCTCTAGTTCCATCCATGTTGTGGTGAATTGCATGAGTTTATCTTTTTTGATTGCTGAATACTATTCCATTGTGTATATATACCACATCTTCTTGATCCAGTCATTTATTTTTGGGCATTTGGGTTGTTTCCAGGTTTTAACTATTGTAAATAGTGCTGCAGTAAACATAGGCATACAGGTGTTCTTTTGAATCAATGTTTTTGTGTCCTTTGGGTAGATGCCTAGTAGTGGAATTGCCATGTCGTATGGTAGCTCCATTTTTAGTAGGTTGAGGAACCTCCAGACAGCTTTCCTAGTGGTTGGACCAGTTTGCCCTCCCATCAGCAATGTAGGAGAGTTCCTTTTTTACCACATCTACCCCAGATTTCTTGTGGTGAGTATTCTTTTTTGTCTTACCTATGTGTGTCTTAATATTTGAAGTGCTTTTCTTATACAGCCAACAGTTGAGTTTTGACTTTTTTGATCCACTTAGGTAATCTTTGCCTTTTAATTAGAATATCTAGGCAGTTTACATTTAATGTGTTAATTGTTATTGTTAAGTTTGCATCTATAATCTTGCTGTATGTTTTCTTTTTGTCTCGTGTGCTCTTTTTCCCTATTTTCTTTTCTTCTGTTGTTTTTTTTTTGGATTAGTTGAATATTTTTGAAAATTTTGTTATTTTTTAATTGAGATGACATTGGTTTACAACACTGTATGTAATTTAAGAGTATAGATTCAAAGCTCTTCAGATATGTATGAATACACCTTACCCACCACCAGAGTACCCATAATCTTCATCTTAGTCCATTGGATCTCCTCTCTCTTTCGTTGTGATTCCATTTTGTATCCTTTGCTAGCTCAGTACTCTAAACTCTTTGTTCAAATAAACCTAAATCTTTGTTCAGTGTTTGCTCTAGGTTTCATGGTAGTCAAGCAAATGGGAGAATCATGCCTAAAGTATTCAGAAATAAGAACTTCATAAGACTTTTTGAGATGTTATTGTAAAAAGACTTTTTGAGATGTTATTGTAAAAAGAAGAGTCAAAATAAAAACTTTTATATGACTTTAGGTGATGGATTTGGTTAGGTCACACAATCATCTTTCTGTTTCAGAAAGATCTCTTTGGTTGCAGATTGGTGAAAAGATTTATATGCGTGGCCCAAGATTGGTTGCTAGGAATCAGATTTGAAATTATTATAGGAGCCTTAGTTGAAAGATAACATGGACTAGAGAGAGCTATGTAGGTGGGAAAATTGCTTAACATGTTAAGTCAACAGGACTAGGAAGGAAAGATGGAGGAGGGAAGGGGGAGAGAGAAAGAAGGAGATGATAACAACTATGGGATTTCTGGCTTGAGCCATTCATAGGGAGCAATGGCACTGGAATAAGAAGCTTGGGAGAGGTAGCCATATCCAGTAAATTAAATCTATGGATCTGGAGCTTATGGGGAAGAATTTAATTGGCAATATGGGGAAAGGACTTAATTGGAGATTCAGATTTGGGAGTATTTGGCATATCCTTGGTAATGTAAGCTCAGGAAGGGGTCCATACAGAAGTTGATTAGATGGAGTGAAGAAGAATGGCAGAGCCTGGAAAATTGTTTGGTAGTCAAAATGAAGAAAGTAATATTTCTCAAAAAATGTAGTCTGTCATGTCAAGTGTTCCTGGAAGGTCAAGCAAGTCAATGACAACTGAAATGTATCTTTTGGATTTAGTAATCACAAACACCAATTTTTCCTGGTAGGAGAAGTTTCAGTGGAATCAGTGGAATAGAAAGTCACAATGAGTGGGTTGAGGACTAAGTTAGTGGTAACAAAATGAAGGTCATGAGAAAAGACTGCTCTTTCAGGAATTTCTGCTCTTCCTGCTTGCTTGATCCAAAGGCCACTTTCCAGTTCTTTGTTATTTTTTGAAAATTTGATCATCATGTATCTTTTGGATTTAGTAAGAAGAAACACCAATTTTTCCTGGTAGGAGAATTTTCAGTGGAATCAGTAGAATAGAAAGTCACAATGAGTGGGTTAAGTACTGAGTTAGTGGTATGAAATGAAGGTCATGAGAAAAGACTGTTCATTCATGAAGTTCTACTCTTCCTGCTTGCTTGATCCAAAACCCACTTTCCAGTCCTTTATTATTTTTTGAAAATTTGACCATCATGTATCTTTTGGATTTAGTAAGAAGAAACACCAGTTTTTCCTGGTAGGAGAAGTTTCAGTGGAATCAGTGGAATAGAAAGTCACAATGAGTGGGTTGAGGACTAAGTTAGTGGTAATGAAATGAAGGTCATGAGAAAAGACTGCTCTTTCAGGAAGTTCTACTCTTCCTGCTTGCTTGATCCAAAAGCCACTTTCCAGTCCTTTATTATTTTTTTGAAAATTTGACCATCATGTATCTTGGTAAGAAGTGTACTTGTCAGTTTTGTCTGAAAGGCAGTTGGCTGTCTATTCTTAAAAGTTAGAAGTGCTTAGTTTGTATAAATTTCCTCTTACCATGCTTTTATTTCTTTGATTGACTTGCCTTTTTTCTGCAGAAACTTTCACTCATTAGTTGAATCTTCATTATGCAGTTTATCTGCAACTCCTCCAGTATCTTAATTTTCATTCAATATGCTTTAGTAATTAATTAAAAATTTTTACTGTTTCTCAAATTTACTCTATCATTTAATCACATTTGGTAGCATTAAGTCTTTACTGTTTTGCATAAAACTTTTTTATTAGTTTTTATATTGGTTATTGGTTTATGTAAAATTGTTCTTATTTTATAGAAAAATTATCTCTTATATCCTACTGAGCCTAAAAGGTGGAAATTTTGTCAACTATTATTTCTTGAAGTTAAGTACAAGATTCTAGATCCAGGAATCTAAACATGAGCATATGGGATTATAATATAGTTGTTATATCTTTATTTTTAAAAATAAAAACCATGGTCTAATTAAAAAAAATCATTTGTTATAATAATTGAAGAATAATTTCCAGAAGTGAATGGTCTGTGGTGATGGGAGCTCTATTCAGCTAGATCTGTGATGGTGAGAGCGGTAATGGATGGGTGAAGAATGCCTCTATCTGACACTATTTTATACCGTGAAAAACTCATAAATTTCATGGGACAAATGTCATTTATTACCGAGCAGGAAATGGCTCAGATGGAGAGGCTGAAAGAGAAACCTGAAAAAGAAAAGTAGAGCAAGGAGAAGCTGATGACGAATCTTTTCATCAATGCTGCGACACGGCTCCATTCTTCAGTTTCTCTGCTGCTGTTACATGAAATCCAGTTGATAAGGAACCCTGCCATAGCCCTCTCTTAAGATCAACAAGGATTTCCTGGGAAATAAAAACTCCTTTTAAAAAAGGAATTTATCATTTTTATGTGTGTGTAATTTTTAAAGGAAGTGAGTGCAAAGCAAATTCTCTGTCTGTATGAGAATTGATAAGTAAAACATACTATTAAATATTTAGACATATATTATTTTTTCCATTTTCAAGTCAATCCAGCTGTTTTCATGGGTGCAGAATGATGACTTATGTTTAACACATTCTTCAATTAGTTTGCATGATGCATTTATGCTAGATAAAACTCTCCTGGAATACATATGCCTTTAAAACTAATTTATTTTTTTTACTATGCCATAGGTCACATAATATTCTGAGATGTCTTTAAAAAATCATTGTGCTTATTTTAAAGCTAAGCTATCTAAATCAGAAAATACCACATTATTCCATTAAAAATCAAATCACGGCCACTGTGGCTGGATGATCTTTTACTGTAAAACTATTTTGCAGGGAAATCTTTGAACCTTATTTAGAACTTTACTCCTTTGCCCTGAACTTCACAACACTTTATGATCCCTCTCGATTTCTTACAGTAGCATTTCCAGGTGGACTCCACCATTTCGGTGTGGTAAGGAGCAGGAAAATAGTGATGGCTGCCAACCTTCTGAATTGTCAGACAAGTAACTGCATCATTTTCACACAGCACATCTTAACACAGCACAACTAAGCAAGAGAGGTCAATGTAGATGACTTCAAACTTGTAGAGTTGTGAGCATAAAGTTGGAAATAGACTAAATGGCACAATACAATGGTGTTCTCAAGTCTATAGGCTTAATATATCCTTTTTACCCAACCGAAAGTTTTTACTATGTCAGTTGTAAAATTTCTTTTCAAATATGCACCACATTTCTCCCCGCCAATCATTTGCATTTATTTTCTTTATTAGGTACACAGGCTCAACTGTTTTTCTCACCAGGGCATGATTTTTTTGTAAACTGAGATGTTTAATTCTGATTCAGTAATTCCCTTTAATCATTGCAACATTGCATCCTAAATAACCTCATGCATTCATTACTGTGTACAGAACCTCACACATACAAAATCCATTCTGTGTCCAATATTTAACTTGACACAGTGTCTTCTAATTTTAACTTCTGATTTTCAGTCTTGATCTGTATGCCATCAAAATCTACATCAATTTTTATTTTCTGTCGACTTCTTAAATGCATATATCAACCTATTTCCAGTGTTGGGGAAAAATGAGTTTTGTCTCCAACCTTTTCTAAAGGTTGATATTCTCTCCCATATCTGAGTTTGTGGGTGGGTTTGTGCGCAGCATCTTTAGCTATTATTCCTATATATTGACATCCAAACAGTCTTGGCAAAGTTAAAGGCCTTTGTAAGTGGGGATTTGTGTTTTTGAAAATAAAAAAAAACCTGTGAGGCCAATGGCTGTTAAAAGCTGATTGTGAAACCCTAGCTCACAGAAGGTGGGCACAAAATCCCTTTTGTCTTTCCCATGCAATCTAGCCTCTCACTTTCCTGATTTTTCATGATGTCCACATTTGTCCTCACTGCATATCTCAGATAAGCCAGGACTTGCCTGAGTAAGAAAGTCCTTCAAGGAGCGGACACTCATACCATAAGAATAAATGAGCTCCTTAATGCCAAGGATGGGAACTAGAACTTCTTCAAGAAAGGAGGAAAGATTGTAAGCAAGTGATATCTTCCACCAGGGGCAGATGGACCAGTTTTTATTGCAGTGCTCTAACAATAATGCTGGCATCTTCGGGGAACAGAGAAGAGAAAAATGACCTGAAAAGAAAGTGATTTGTTTTTTGTTTTGCCTTTCTTTTACTGTAAAGTTGCTCTCTGGCCAAAGAAAGTGTGCTAAACCCAGAGAGATGTCCCCTAGAAATACCAAGAGGACACCAAAGGTCCTTGATTGACCTTGGTAAATTTTCTACCCCATGGGTCCCTTCTTCATCTTTGCAGATGAAGAAGCTAGGTCTCCCTTGACCAGGATCATGGACAGGGATCTCAGAGACCCACGTGTACAGTAGATCCCAGTTTATTGGTTTATAAGAAGAAGCAACGTTTGGGAGATGGGACTGCTGCCAAAGCTGGATTTATGCATTCTTTGTGTGCAGAAAACCTTCATGGGAAAGCAAATCATAATCATAAGGTAGCTTGGAATGAGAATAAAGTGCAGTTGGTTGTATGATTGGAGGTTTATTGCCAGGGCCTGCTGTGTGCAGCCCCACAGCAGGGATGTACCTGCCAGATGAATGAAGTTTTTGTGATGATTGAAAGGGCAGCCTGTGCCTTAGATGACATTTAGATGAGAAGTTCCAATATTGCCCTGTCACTCTCTTCTCTCTTGCTATTGCTGAGCAATCTTTCTTTTGAGAGGTAGGTATACCCTTTCTCTGTCTCTGTCTCTATATTTATATGTAGATGTGTATATATAGAGATAGACATGTATGTGTGTGCTTATGTATGTATGTATGTATATAAGAGAGGCAAAAGGAGCAGGGAGATATCACTGCATGTGTATATGTAGTCCATATATACACATATTACAAATATGTGTGTGAATATATATATGTGCAAAACAAAAGTCAGATTATATTCTAGTGTTAGGGTCTACAAGCCATCTTGGGTATTTAGATGAATTTATAGCTCTTTCCTCCATCCCATGTGTTGATTTACAATTTAACTCTCAGAAAACCACTTTCTATTCCTCACTTTCTGGTTCTGTAAGGGAATCTTAGATATAGACCCTTAGATATAGTCTTTTTTATATAGACCCTCACCCTGGATAATTGAAGGACCAGAATGCTCAAATTGTGGATGTGTTCCTTTTGGATGGGGTAAGAAAATGGGCACAGAGCCCTCAATATGCAGACCATATAGTGAGATCAGAAGAACATAGCACCTTCTGCTGGGGTCTGGGTGTAAGAAGACTCCTCATCCCTCAAGAATGAGGTAAAAGGATATTTTTTAAAATGGGTTTTGGTAGGATTCTTTATTTCTCTTTCATTTTTATTCTGAGAATTTCTGCATAAGGCAAATCCACACTCATTCTTTCCTGAAAGTTCCTGAGAAATGTTAGACTTAAGTAACATAGCAATAGGCAGTGGATCAAGGGTCAGCAAACTAGGGCTCAGGGGTGGAATCCACTCTGCTGCCTGATTTTGTAAATAAAGTTTTATTAGAATACAACCTTGCCCATCATTTTACATACCATCTAGGACTTCTGTCACATCACATTCAGCGCCGAGTAGTCTTGACAGAATGAATGACCCACAGACACTGAAAGGAATAAGGATATTTCAGTCAACATGGACGGACAATGCTGATCCTTAGAACCAAGTTTGTGTAGTTACACTCTGTGACATTTGTTCAACCATGCATGAAGTTGCCTAAGGACTCATTTCTTTGTTTCAAACTTTATTTATTTATAATTGAATTATTTTTTAATTGAGGTTATACAGGTATACACCATATATGATTCATCTCTTCAGATGTATGTTATCACATCATACCCCTGACCCAGGCACAGTTCTTAGACCTATTCCTTTAAGTTACCTAGGCATGACTGTTTTTACTCTCTGGCCCTTCAGAGAAAACATTTGCTTAACTCTGTGTTAGAGGAAAAGATGCTAGCTTTTAAGTCTTAGGTAATTCTTCACTGTACAACCTCAGACAAGTTATTTACCTCTTGTATTTCCGTTTTGTTGTTTGTAAAGTGAGAATAATAACATATACCTTTAAGTTAAGTTTAAAGAAAATAGCATTTAAAATAGAATAAATGGGGGAAAGAAGTCCTGATGGCAGAGTGACTATGAAGGATACATACATTCAAAAGAATGGCCACATCAGGAAATTTCATTGGGAACAATTGTTCAACATGATTGTACAGAAAATATTGATTTTGTAGAATTGTGCAGCCCATTACGGAGGCTATGCATGACTATGGAACTCTTAAAACTAGTTGAAATTAAGATTGTGCTCATTTTGAGTTCAATGCATAGGTAAAGAAGCAGGGAAAAGCAAAAACAAGCCTCAAATTATACTTATTCTCAAATAATAGCCAATAATCACACAAGAAATAATTAAGACCTTCCAAAATATATGCAGCCTTTTGCATTTCCATTGATAGCTGAAGTGTGTACCCCAGCAATCAGAATGAGGTGTGAGAGTTCATATTCAAGGACTTGGAATAAAAATGCAAATAGCAAAGCACGTACCAAAACAACAGTTTAGGGTAACTTTTTATCCCAGGACTCTGAATGCTTTTTGAAAGAAATATCAATAAAGAACCTTCTTAGAAAAATAATATGAAGGAAATATCTTGAGTTTTAGAACGGATAGGATTTCAAAACAGGAAAATCTTCAAAGCAGATACAGTTTTTAAAGAAAGAACAAAATAGTTCTTCCCAAGGCAGCATCCATGCTCTAGAAATAGCTGAGCAATCTCCCTGTTGACCTTTCCCCTTGTTCTGAAAGCTTTAGTGGTGATTTGGGTGTCATTTTCTCATCCTGGTTTTGAGTAAATGTGATGACCTGAGTTTCAGTTTCTAAATAAAACGCTGTTCTCTTACAAATTCTCCATCTCGAGAATGAAATATGCTTCAAAATTTCCAGAAGAAACAGCCACTACAACTTTGCATATTTCTAATATGTGAAAGGAAGAAAGCCTTATAACACCAATTATATATAGGTTTCCCCAAGCAATCCCTTTTAATTCCTAAAGACTTCCTCCTTTCGAGAATCTTGTAGCATCTGAAAGAGTCGCAGCTATGTAAATGCAACATATTAGTTGTTGGAAACACAGCTGTATCTTGTCTTCTTTGCCTTGTGTTCTCACTGCTGGGTTGTGTTTGTAAATGTGGTTGCCTTAAAACTGATGCTGACTGGGAACAAGGATCGTAGTGTAGCAGTGAAGCCTTTTTTTAAGGCTTGGTAGGGCCGACCTCTTCTCTTCTGATGGTTTCTCTTGATCTTCTCATTGTGGCTTTGACATGTTTCCATTAACACAGCTGACTTGAGACTTCATTAACTTTCCTGTCAGAGAAGAACCCACAAAGGTTTGTGGACCCTCTTCCAATGGCAAGTGGAGAACTTGCTCAAGGGGCAACAATTCTGAGAAGAGGATGCCATCTCCCAGGTGCCTGCCCTAGCACCCTGTCCTTCCTTCCTTTCTATGGTATGAAGAACCATTCTCTTTTGTGGGCCACGACTGTACCCCATGAGATTTCTATCCCAGTTCCCAGCTCTTTGACTCTATTTTCCTGATCTTCCCCCATATACTTTGTTTTGAGTTTCCTGAGAAGTGTGAGACCAGTGATGATAGTATTACTATCATCATCTCCAACATTAATAGATCACTCACTATGTGCCACGGCCTATGTGAAGTACATTATATCATTCTCATTTAAGTTTCACAACATTTTACGTAAGTATAAACGGAGTCTTGGGATAGGTAAGAGACTTGCACAAAAAGATAACTGGCAGAGCCAGGATTAGAATACAGATATGACCGATTCTGGAACCTGACATTTATCACGGTGTTCTGATTTATCAAGATTAATTCACCCTTGGGTCTGTAGTCACTGTGATAGGTCTTAGCCAAAATAGTCCTTGACCAGGATTTAATGAATGAATTGCAAGGAGTGCTCCAGGTCACTGGAGAAACAGGTCATGCTCAGGAGGACATTGTTTTCCTTTCCCCCTCCCCCATGGATGTCTCCTAATATTCCATTGGACAACCTTACTCTCCCCATTTTCCTTTCTAGCCTTAGTTTTTTTTTTTTAAAATACAGAATGGGATGAATTTATTGATGTGGTCAAGATTCAGGAGCAATGGCACTGTAATGGGTTATCCCACCCCAATAAACCTGGACTTGGATCGTTCTCTTAGAACCAAGTCTTTAGGGAAGTTTGTGGGGTTTTATAACCTGTAAAGCTGTTCAGGATAGAGGGTGGACAGCGTCGATTCTCTTAATTCTGCCTCTCTTCATTTGTGTCCTCTTGTTACTACTGGTCTCCAGTGATTGGACTTGGTGCAAGCTCCCAAATAAGAGTGCAAGGTGATAAAATTCATTCAATTATTGGGGCTTTATAGCAAGCTAAAATTTGGATAAATTAGTGTTCAATTAATGATTTGGCTTTGACCAGACTGAGAAAGCAAACTTGTATTTTGACTTACTTAAGAATCCTCTCCAGGGAATCTTGATGGAATGCTTCATGGTCAAGCAGTCTTTACCCAAGTCCATCACAGGGATCTTAAGATGCTGCCACCACCGCATCTGATGGTAGGGTGAACACCTGATGTTATCTATGGTGAGGTGGTTTTACAGAGTACTCAGAATCTAGTAGAACCAAATGACAAGTGAAAATAAGGTTCAGTGAATCAGCAGTTGTCAAGTAGGGGACACTTGGCAATGTTGAGTGAGTGCTTGGGTGGAGACAGGTGCTACTGACATCTAGGGGGTAGAGGCCAGGGATGCTGCTAAATATCCTAGAGTGCACAGGACAGCTTCTCGTAACAAAACATTACCCAGAACCAATGTCAATAGTGCAGAGGTCAAGCAACTGAGCAGAATAAAAACCAGGAAGCAAACATCTGTCCATGGTGAAGAGGAATGAACATGGAGGGTAGAGTTACATGCAAAACCAAAATGCCAGAACACAGGTAGATTTTAAAAAATTGGAAATGATTATCAAAAGCAAGAGCAATGTGAGAGAAGCCAAGAGCAAGGCTGCAGTGACTCCGGTTCCTTTAACTTGTGTGGCATGGAAGTGGATTTGCCTGAATTCTAGGTAAAGGCCTGGAGCACACACATCAATGATGGCAGATGAGCAGTGCTCCAGGGAGGCAGTGATGGGTGGTGACGAGCCCAGAGGTCTCAAAAAATTTGTATGAGGCTATGAAGATGCGTGGCAGCCATTAATGAACCACAGAACTGAGCCTAGAACATCACCATATGCCACATCACACAGTTTCACTAATTCTGTGATTTCTGGGTGTTTCCCCCCACCCCTTTTTTCCTTTAAAGCATCATGTCAGTGTTCTGTGGAGGAAAGTGAATTCATTAACAGTGCTTGTCTTGATAGATCTTGATAGGATCAAGAGGCAGTATGGCAGAAAGGAAAAAAATTGACTAGTTAAAAAAGAAAAAGCCAAGTTCTGCCTTTTAGGGGAAGAACAATCTGGACATCAGAGGTAAATGGCTCTTTGGTGGAATAAAATGCTTTGATGAGAATGTGTGATTGACAAAGATGAGCCTCTGTCTTGCTTTTGTGCCAACTTGCAGGCAGAACCTAAATTTATGAAGGTGAGTGAGGGAGCGCAACTGTTTCAATGAAGAAAGGAAGAATTTTGAGTGTTGGTGGACAGCCCAAGGGAGAGGGAAGAAGGAATCCAGTGTTTTGGAAGAAGCCCCCAGTAATATGGCAGTAGGCAGCACCTGAAGGAAGATTGTACAGAGGAGAATTCCCTGTGGAGGAGGAATTATGGGGAACCCTGCAAAAATGATGCATTTTTAAATTTAGTGCTGTGTTTGTGTGGTTTTGAAGAAACCATTTTTGTTATCCCTAAAACATTCAGAGTTAACCACGCGTAGCAGCCTTGGATGGTGTTACTGGTTTCGGGGGAGAAGAAGGAGGTGAGTGGTATTCCAAAGAGGCAAGAAAAAAAGGTGACCAATAGCTAAGCAAGGCTTACCCATTTGCTTCTCCTCTCCATTCCCACGGCTCAGATACTAGGACCTCTTGGAGTGCTGAGCTGAGGGTCTCAGCCATGTTATTTGAATAATAAAAGAAAGTATGCCCTCAGCCAGCTAGACATTAGAGGGGGACACAGGTTTTATAGAAGCTACTCAGTAAGAAAATTGCCAAACATAGGCCTCCCCGGTGGCACAGTGGTTGAGCGCTGGGTTGCGAAGCTGCCCGCAGCCCCTGCAGTGCCGGTTCGATCCCCGGCTGCTCCCTGGCCACCGGAGGAGGGTCCCACATGGTGCCCGCTGCTCCCCTCAGCAGTGTACTTCGGTCCTTCTGCCTGTTCTGCTCCTCACTCTGGCTCTGGTGAATTCTCTCACCTTCCCGCGCTGCTGACTGTACCCAGTGCTTGTATAAATTAAAATAAATAAATAAATAAATAAATAAATAAATCTTAAAAAAAAAAAAAAAGAAAATTGGCAAACAATGGTGACATCTCTGTTGTGCTGTGGGTCCTGCCTTCTCCTGAGTGTCCCTGGGCACTATCTAGACACTTTAAGGTTTTCTTAGGGTCTTTTGGTGACAAATGAAAATTTCTAAGGAGCTGGAGTCTATCTTTTCTGCCCAACCTGATTACAGTAGGAAAGAGAGGCGGAGAGATGGGATTAGACTGCTCTGGGCTGGGAGAGCCTGGGGTTGCGGGGACCAGAGCCCAGGTTTTCTGATGACATCACTTGCTGTGCAAGATGGGTGACTTCTCCATCGTCTTCCACAGTGTGTCCCCCAAAGATCTCTTGGTTTTGCTGCATTGCAAAGATCTGGTCTGCTGTGTCTCCCTGCTGTTCTGGGCATGCACAGCTGCCACACACAGCACAAGAAGCTGGTGAAGAGGCTGCTTGCCAAAGGTGAAGAGGCACTGGAGATGCTAAGGCATTTGTTTGCTGCAGTCATTTTCTCGCCCAATCTTCATCATCTTCCATTAATCAAGAGTGCTAAATGAGCAGTCATAGGAGGTGTAAGTGTCAACAGTCCTACCTAGGCTGTTTAAATGCAGCTGTAGAAATCATAATGTTTGTGAATTATGACAGTTCTCTAGCTGTCACAAACTTCTCTTGAGTTTTTGCTCACCACATCCTCTATATTACCTCCTTGGAGAGAACTTTTCTGGCTTCCCAGTGCTGCTTCTCAGGTTACTGCCATTCTGTGGTCGTTTGTTTTAAATAGTGCTTAATGCTATCTAATCGTCTTCTTTAATTGCTACTTGGTTATTGTCATTGTCGTTCTGCTAGAACATAAACTCAGTGAAGACCAGGATCTAATCTAACACTTCCACCTTTGTATCCTTTCTCTACAACTGTGCCCTGAACATAAGAGTTTTCTCAATAGTCATTTAATACATGGACAATGAATGAATAAGTGAGACTACTCTTGATGACGAACAATTTTATGGTTTTTTTCCTCAGACCTCATGCTCCTCAGCATCTCTGTTGGTTTCCCAACACTCAGAATTACTTGTCTCTTTCCATGTGCATAGGTCTTACCTAAGCAGAGGTTGGTCTAGTCACCTTTTTATTCCTACTGCTCCTTGCATTGCTCCAACCCCACTGTCTTTCCTGTTATTTGAACATGCTAAGCTTATTTTTGACCATCAAGAGCTTAGGCTCTGGACTTGGCTGGATCTGGGCTTGAATCCCAGCATTGAACTTTGCTAGCTATGATCTTTACCTTCTCTAATGCTCATTTTACCTTATCTACAAAATGCCTAATGGCTGCACCTACCTCATAGGTGGTAATTACATAGAACAACATACTCCTAGCGCTTTTGTTATATACATTGAACAAATTCCTCTTTTCTGCTGCAAACAAATGCAATCCTAATTGTGAGTCCTAAATGTAAAGCAATATACACACATCCTTGTACACAGCAATAGTGAGGTACAGTAAATATCACTACCTCTCCCCCACTCCTTTCTTCTGGCTTGGTTTAAATTTGACATTTCCTGTGTCATTTCCCAAAGTCTCCTTTCTTTCTTGCATGCCTTCATTATGCATTTAATTTTATTCAGTAACATCTTATTTGACCAAATGTCACTGATCAGCCAAACCTACCTTTCTTCCACATAGCTGAGAATCCAGAAAAAAAAAAAGAAAACAATTAGTGGCAATTGTGCAGAAAATTAGATGCAAAAAATATACTCTATAAGCAGATAGAATCTAAGCAGAGAAACTCAGATCATGCTCATAGCTTATAACTTTTACTTTGGGTACAGCGCCACGCAAGATAGCAATGGCAACATAAGGGAAGACAAAAAAAAAAAAAAAAAGAAAACAAAAAACCAAAACAAAACCCAAAACAAAAAAACAGTACAAACTGTATGTAAGAAGCCAAAATATGAATTGAGTATTGTAAAAACGCAGTGTCTTTTAGAGTAGCTACAGGCCCCTGTATACTTGAAAAACCCCAAGGGGGGCCCTATATCACAGCACAGTGTGATAGTTGACATTCATAATCATCCGGAGACATATAGAAAAGGTTAATCTACATTCTATATATTCTGCCTAAGGGAGGGAAATGTTTTAGCTTCTTTGGAAAGATTTCCATTTTTTTTTTTTTTTAAGCTTTCACTTGAAAATGGTAAGCTTCCCATTTCTGGAACATTTCACTTTAAATATTTGGATAAACATGTTATCTTGTTGCCTAGACATTTTGCCTGTTTAGAGATTATCATCTCAAATTCCTCTTGAACTGTATCTCTGCTGATACTTCCTACAGGTTAAACTGTGATAGATTGTCAATAATGGTCTATTGATTTGACTTACCTTTCCTTGTAGAAGCTGTTGGGTATTATAAGCTCATTCATTTAGTCTTTCAGTGTTTACTTTCAAGTGTTTATGTCATACTTAGAAGAATTCAAGTGACAGATGTTGTTCTCTTGGGTGGGTAATCTCGGAAGCCTTTGGAATGCTTTGTCAACCCGGAAATAAGTATATTTTCAGATCCCTGAGCTACAAAGTGTGAACTGGCTAGATAAGATTCCTCATGGCTAGTGCCATTCCAGTCTTGGCATGGTTGGAGGTGATGGCTGTTCATCTGGATCTTAACCATTGATGCCCTTTGGGTAAAGGCAGAAACATAGGCCCCCTTTTTCTCCACCATTAAAGAGAATAAGGTGATAAGAAAACAGAATCACTCAGCCTGGATAATAAAACAGACTCCAGCTTGGGATACATGGAGCCTCAAAGACCATGATCTGACCAGATCAGAGCAGAATGTATGTCTCCATTTCTCTTGGTGGTTCTGGTTTAGGGAATTCACACATTCCTTTGAAAGGACAGTCAGATAAGCCACCCTCTATATATTCACTGCTGTGATGGTGCTTATGATGGACATTAAATGATATATTTCTTATTACAGACCTTAGAGGTATTAGTTCTCAAAATATACCTTGTCAACTTAATAAAATAGTAAATTATATTAACCACAGGTCTTGCTCATAATAGATACTTGAACTAACTGGACCCACGATTATGACATTCACATTAAAGCTAAATCAGGTGTACGCTACTTCTATATCAAGTCAAGGGGTTTTCATCTGGATGTTCATTGATACTTTGGTGAAATAACTCCCCCCTATGATATTGACTTGTTTCA